GTTCATCGTAAAGCTTCACCAAAACCCTCTCACATCGCCATTCCCATTGGCTTCCCCAGCGTCGTGCGATCGAAACTCAAGAGTTTTGGCCACCTATTATCGTGCCATCGCCGTTCGCCGTGGGTAAGACTTTCGACCGCCACCTTTTCAATTTTTTCATCAAGATATTGAGTTGATTTTGAGTTAATTAGGTTATAATGTTAAGTTGCAGCTTATGGAGTGATCAATCATCCTCAACGACCTCTGTCACCGTCGCACGCGTCGCCATGCGCCTAGGGCTTCTCGATCGGTCCAGTCAGACTGAACTGGAGCTGAGTCAACTCGTTAAGTTAACTCGACTGAGTTGACTTTGACTTTGACTTTGACTAAAAAGTTAAATTTTTTGAGAAGTCATATTTTATTTTTCGACGTTTTGAGTCCGAATTTGAAGTCTGTTTTTGTCCAATTCGAACCCGATAAGCTGTTTTTCACTGATTAACCTCCCGATTCAATATTTTGTTTGCAATTAAACTCCATTTCTGATGTAATTTATGTTCATATGTACTCGATATATTATTGGACGTTGGATTCAAGTTTGAGAGCGATCGAATAGAGTTTGAATGTTCGACCGGTGTAGCTTGAGAATTGAGGTAATACTTTACTACCCTATGCATGTTTTATGGTACATATTGGTATTGCTAAGTGCATAGATGAATATGTTTCATCTCATCTGTATAGTTAATTATTTCTAAACTCAATTCGAATGCAGTAAAAAGTAAATAACTGAATAAAACTCTAATGCCTCGTATAAGAAATTATAAGATTTATAAGGAACAATTCCAAGTTTCGTGATTAACTAGTGAAGCGTTTAACCTCATAACCCTTAAAATTTGATTACTCTTGTTAAAAATTGAAACACCGAAAATACCTAAATGAGAAATTATAAAATTACCCTTGAGAGGTAAAAATAGCTCGGATTGACCCAGATTGATAAAGTACCCTGAGAATTCATATCTAATCTGATAAATTACTGATTTAACTGTTAAGTTCCTATTTTGTTCGGAAGATTTCTAATAAATAGTTTGTAATCTCTGAGAAGGCACTGGACCCAAAATTTCTGATTTATAAGCATACACCTGAAGACTGACTTATCAAAAGTACTCTTATGGTTAGAATTGTTTGAAATGATTGAAATAAATGACAAGTTTGAATTAAATGGAAAGATTGGACGGAAGGAAAGGACTGAAATACCATTGTACTGTAAAATGACCAAAATACCCCTAAAGTGTGAAATAACCTAAAATAGCCTTAGACCCTGGAATGACTGAATACCCTTAAGCTCTAGAATGAATAAATCTACCTCGAATACTAGAATGATCTAAATACCCTCATGACTTGGATTAAGTAAATGCCTTTGGATAACTTCTGAAGATACTGGTGAAACTTTAAATGCTATAATGCCCCTGAGGTTTTTAAAGTACGGCCTAAGTAGGTCGATCATCCCTAATACTATTAAAACACAGGAAGTAAATAAATATTTCTTAAATGCTTGTTCGTCTCCTCATAATCCGTCCAAATATGGTTTTGAAGGTGATCAGTTCGATTTTGCAGTGCATCTAGTTTTAAGAAATGAATATTCGTGAAGTTTCTCTACCTACATAATTGATAAGTGTCACCTTTGTTGGGAATTGTACATTGCGATTGGAATTGAAAACCTGTTAAGATGCTTGAAATCTGGAATTTTGTAAATCGCTACATACCCTTATTAAATTGATTTATCAAATTTCTCAGGAATTAAATGATTAAAATGCCTTTATAAGCTTGATTGATGGAATCACTTTAGGAATGCCTGAATCCTAAATAAATTTTAATGCAATAATTCCTTAATACCTTGCTAATATATCTGAATAATATGATCTTGATAAATCACTTTCTAAGTGACTGATGAATCCGTTATCTATCAAACCCCCTTTTTATAAGGATCTCATTTCTAAAATTCAATCAGTTTGTAGAAGTTTCATGTTTTCCCCGCTTGATAATTGCTAGGTCCTCTGGAAAATAATTGGATCCTCTAGCGTGTTCCCTACGTGATATATGATTATTTTATCTGTCCTGAAATGTGATTTACCAAAGTTAATGATTTATTGAATCTTTTAACTGTTCGATATTCTGATTTACTGATGTATTGATTTATTGTTTATGAACTATGGTTACATGATATGTGCTCTCTGGTTACTTGTTTTCATTGGAAAATATAATTGTTCCTTATTTATGGATCATGGAATCTACTGTTTATTGTATGAACCGATTATTGGGATATTGTCTGGTTAGGATTCTAGAGTATGGAGGTTCAGCTCGGATCAAGCTGGTAATTCGTTACGGACCTAAGGTGACCTTGGGTAGACACTGAGGCCCCAAGGCATTTCCTTGGGTAGGCTCTAAGGCCCTAAGGCACTTCCTTGGGTAGGCTCTTAGGCCCTAAGGTACTCCCTTGGGTATGCTCTCATGCCCCAAGATATTCCCTTAGGTTGGCACCTACACGCAATGGGCCTAGGGTAAGTCCTTATGCATGTAATTTTGGGGAACTGTATATCGGTGTTCAGTTGAAGGGTATTATTGTGGTCTTAAAAATATGTGTTAAACTGTTGTTGTTTTAAAAGATTTGTACACTTTCTATGTTTTTGTTGAAACACATACACTACACTCCTCATCTCAATCTCCTGAATTTGTCTCTGATTATTTCCTTCATATTTTGATTTCCTGATGGTTACCTGAAGAAATAATTAATGAAATATGAGCTCGTCGCAAGAATTTGATGATGTCTGTATCGTTAAGAAAATTTATGTTTTACCATATACCTGATAACCTATTGCATTCATATGGTAGTTCTATATTACTGAGCTTTCCAAAGCTTACTCTGTTACTTACCATTTCAGGTTAAAGAGTTTGATCATGTGCTTTTATCGACATCAGTAAAGGAGTTTCACCGGCGTTGCTTACGGAATACAATGCATGTAATTAGGGGGCATATAGGTTGTATTATGTTTTTATATTCGAGTTTGAAACTTGTTTTACTATTGGATATTGTTGAATTCTATTTTTAATAAATAAATGATTTTCTAAACTTGTATTTTATCTATAAATTATTTTACAGTTTTAAATGGATTAACAAAAATTTTAAATTTTCCAGGATTTTCAGTCTGGGTCGTTCCGGTGACCCTAATGTGACACCACAGGTCGGATAGGATCGGATCACTTGTATCAGTATGAGAGTGTTACATATTCTTGGAGAGCTTTTGGCTGGGAGAAGATATGAGGCCATTGTTCGACCATCTGCTCCTCGTGACAGTGGATTAGGCGGCTCACGACCGATGCATGTTCAAGCGGTTGCATTGTTACCGACTAATGATGGAGGGGGTCGATTTCGGGGAGGAGAAGGTTTACATGTCGGGGGATTTCATCAACATGACGTGGAGAAGAACCCTTTTTCTTTTGGATGTCTTGAAGCGTGGATACAATTTCATTTTTTCGGTATGCCTTAGTTATTATTCTTGTTTAATATACTTATTATTACATCAAGCTAAGTCTAAATTTTGCTCATTCTATTGGGACACCGATGTAATGTGGTTGCAAAATCCATTTGCTAAGCTAAGTTTAAATGGAACCGAGGATCTTCAAATTAGCGTTGATAAAAATTTTCACGATCCACGACCCGATCGTAATTTGATCAACACGGGCTTCTACCTCATCAAATCAAATAACAAGACGATCGCTCTCTTCAATAGATGGTAGTCGCTCAAGGACAAATTCACGAGGTCAAAAGAGCAAGATGTGTTGTTAGACCTAATGCAACATGGCATCGTCACCGAGTTTCATCTCCGAGTAAGTTTCTTGGAGACGAGGTATTTTAGCGGCTTCTGTGAAGACAGTCGAGACGTCGGCACGGTGACGACGGTCCATGCGAATTGTTTCCGCCACATAAACGCCAAGGTTAGGGATTTAACGGCTGTCCTCGGCGACTGGAAGTGGTTCAAGGCTGCTTGTCACCAAGTACCCCAAGGCTGCTATCAATATAACTAGTAGTTTTCGTTGGTCACCACACGATGGATGTTGGAATTCATGGAAACGTCATCATTAACTTAAAACGTATTGGTTTCGTCTCTTAATTAATTTTGTAAAGAAAATATCAGTTCAAATTAATTTCTTGTATCAATAAATGGTATTTTAATATAAGATCATTTTAGATGTATGATAAATATGGACGGAGTTAATATCAGGCGACCTTCAACAGACAAAATGAGTCAAGTTCCTTGGTATAACATTTATGTCATCTTTCCTTATTCATTTCTCTTCTTTTAGACTTCTCATATTCGTTAATTAGCCTAATTAAACAATGCTGATAATGATTTACAGATTATAGGTTTATCAATCAGTTCAGAAGCACTTGCTTGTGGGGTTAACGTAAATGCAGTAAACACCAAGGATTCGGTGCCGAACGATATTTGTTGATAGGAATAAATGGGTCACAACGATCATAGGTACTTCATCTTTTTCGTTTGAAAAGTCCGGATTAGTGATTGTGGAGTGGCCGTTGCTTAGTGCAGAGGCTCTCTGTTTTATGAGGAAGGAGGGTCAAAGTTAGGATGTAAAATGTTGACCCTCTCTTCTCGAAGGATTTTATAATAATTTTTAGTGTTTATTATGATGATTATTTATAGTCTGACAAAATAGATAGACTTAAGTGATGTGATTTTTATTAATTAATTTTAATAAATCACTTGATATTTGTCAAAAATCATGTCAAAAGATCATGACTTTTTGATTGGTATAAAACTTTCGAGACCCAATGTCTATAGATGTTCTCCTGATATTTGTCAAAAAATATGTCAAAGGATCATGACTTCTTGATTGGTATAAAACTTTCGAGGCCCAATGTCTATTGATGTTCTCCCGGTCGTTATTTAAGCAGTAATTCATGGAAAACGACGTTTACCTGTACATTACATAAACAAGTGGAGACCCAAAACCTCCCCAAAAGGAAAACCAAAACAAGTGATGCAGCCAAAAAGAAAGAATGTTTCAAACACAAAACCAAAGGGCTTAAACAGCAAGTTGTTCCTTTTGATGGGAAGTGTTGGCGGGTTCCTCTTCATTGAAACACAAATGGAGTTTCATGGAGGATTCCGCAGAACTTGGTGGCAGTGGTGGTGGTGGTGGAGGCTGCAGCAGCATCAACATCTCCCTTTGAAGGTGGGAGTAATAGGTTTGGAAAGTTTTGAGGTTTACGTTTAAGTTGAAACCTAATCCGAATAGGAAATCCACTTCCAGCATGTTCATTTCTACTGTGCTGATTCCTCCTACTTTTGCATAGTAAGCATTGTTGTAATACCTGAAAGATTAGGTTTCAAAAATATCACAAACCCAACCTTTGGAACTTGGTATAATAGTGGCATAACAACTTTATAAGATGACCCAAAAATTTCAACTTTTAAGGTTGATTTGAACTCATTCGGTGGCTTTAGCGGTAAGATGAAATATTATTTTTCAAAAGATTCATGTTCGAGTGGCTATAGAGTGTGTGTATATTATTAATAGTTAAAAGATTCTAAATATATACTATCATGTAATTATTATCTCAGACTATTTATATTGAGATAAAAATACTTCAAGATTCAACTTGATACTTAAAACTTCTAAAAAAATCCAATTCAACACCGAATTGAATTGAAGTTTAAATGCATACTCTGATTAAAGAAGTTAAACAACTGGATTGAATATTAGAATCAAATTCAAATATCAAAATATATATTAATCCCAAAATCATTAAATCTACGATGTAGACTTAATTGAATGACATATAACATTAATTTAAAAGTTCAAATGTCATTTTTAAGTGACGTGAAATATTTATATGGTCCATGATAACTTAAAAGAAAATGTTGCATTCAATCTAATCCGATTTTACACTATTTAATCGAGTTAGATTAAATTGTTAGTATATGATTGGATTAAAATATTTAAATTATGTTTAAATGATTGTTTTAATAAATAAATTTTAAAATTTATAAAATAATTATTAAATTTACTAATTTATTAAAAAATGATACTATGATTTTATAACAATATTAAGATTTTGATAAATTTAATGATCATTTTATAATAAATTAATAAATGTATTGACTATTTTATAACTTTTGAAAGTTTAATGATTAAAATAATTATATGGGTAACGTTTAATGACTTGTAGTTTACTTCACCCAAAAAGAAAAATAATAAGCGTATTCAATGGAGACACCGATTGTGTTTTTAGTTGCCTTTTTTGTTATCAAGGCTTCTCCTTGGCTATGCGGGGAATTTTTGAATTAACAATGACTCAAACCTGCTTAAATAGAACTAAACTGCTTATCATTTGAATCAATCACGTTAATAACACATTAAAATTTAATTATAAGTTTCTTTGCATTAACATTTGACTTCATAACTTTTTCATTTTTAAAATATTCACACAAACCAAATTCTTTCATAGTTAAAGAAATGAATATAATTTTTAGAGATGTTAGGTTGAGTACTAGAGACAATAAAGTATTTAAGCTTTAATTATCAAATGGTTGAGAATATTTACGATGGATAATATAACTTGTAAATTTTAATAGCATGTATTAATAAAAAAACATTCTACAATAAAAAGGGTAAATCACTGGATTTGTCACTTTACTTTCTTCGATTTGATCCTGAATGTATCAGTTTGACTACTAAACTTTAAATAAAATATTAATTTGACTCCTGAATTTGATCAAAGTCTCTAATTACAGAACCGTTATTGATGATGACGTCAACAAACTAAGGGGAGTAAACGACTCAGTGACCAAAATGTAAAAACCAATAACATAAGTGACCAAAACTTAATAAATTGATAATGTAAATGACCAAAACTCAAGTTTTCTGAATTTGGTGAACAAAAGCGTTTAAACATGAAAGAAAATTGACAATCCAGCAGTTTACCTATAGAAAGAAACTAAATCATAATTCGGTAAACATTAAAGAAATCAGAGTATCCAAAACTAAAAAGATCCAAATGGCAAAATTCTATATGGTTTTGAGAACTTACAAGTCATCCATGAACTTGGCAGCAACCATGACACTGGTGATAAGCAGGCGATGAACGTTGAAAGAATCGATGGGCAAAGAGGGATGCCTTTGAGCAAACCGATTGAGATAAACATAAGCCACCACAAAGCAAGAGGGGCTGCAATTTGCGTACTTGTGAATTCTGTGGAGGTAGCTGTGGATCGAGATGGCTGGCCGTATTAGGCCGTGGAAGATCGACATCTTCTCGGCCTGAAACCCACCGTTTATGTCGTTGGATTCGGCAACATTTTGGATGAGAGAAGAGAGGAAAGTTATGAGATTTTGAAGCACTTTTGGGTTCTCTAGCTCTTCCATGGCTCACGAGGTTTTTGGACAAGAAGAGTTGAATATGTTGTGCTGTTTCTCTCGTGAGGTACATGTTTATAAAATAGGTTTTGAAGGTGGTTGTTAGAGTTTGTGCTCACTCGTAAATTTCTCAATTGAGTAACTCAACGGTGGTAGAGAATATGTTGTTCTTTATAAAATAATAAGTTTAAGAAGTTATGTATATAAAGTACGTGCGTAGTTGATTGATAAAAAAATTATAAACATATATTATTTTATAATCAATTGTGGCTCGCAAGATTCTATTTCGACCACAGATCTTTTAGTTTTATCAATTAATCTATTTAATTATTTTATTTCAGTCACTAGTCTTTTAGCTTTAGCTTTATCAATTAATTTATTTAAGGACGTGACCTGATTTAATTGTGAAATTAACCGCATCAAATAGTATTATTGAAAAAGGATTGAAGTTTGCCGTGATTAAAGTTGATGCCAATGTTGTTGTGGTAATGGCATGCAACACCCATCATGTGACAACATGTGGGAAAATGTGGTTTTAATTGTGTGGGTCCTGCTTTCGGAAAGATCCTAGCAGTTTCAGCATGTGTGCCAAATCTAAAACAAATTGGATTTGTCATGTTTCGTATCGTATCGGTCAGGTACCTTGTATTTGGTCTGTTGCTTCATAATATATGCTTGTGAAGCAGATGAGGGATCTTGCCAGGCATGCCTTTTGTTCAAATAAAACTAGGAAACAAACAATAACTTTGAACATGAACACCACAACTCGCCAACATGGGAGCGGACTTCATAGCCAAGATGACCCTTTCGTCTGACGGATCATTGATTGCTATGTTGTCCTTTTCCCAGCCATTTTCACGTAGTTTAGACAATTAACCTTTGAACCCTAACTCCGTCTATGCCGAACTTTAGAGCAATAATAATATATGTAACGTAAAGTTGGTTCAGATTCCATGGTACATCTCATTAACTCTGCCATTTGCCCCAACCTCTCATCAATGATGAATCTTGAGATGTTAAAATAATTTGACCTTAGATCCACTTGAGCTCAGTGTCATAAGGACAAAAAAGGCTAAACTATTTATGTGAAACATACTCAACAGGACATTGTTTTTAACAAGAAAATCATGGTTCCCTGCCTTCTACAATTGTTTGTCAAAATATCTTACAAAATCATTAATCCAATACCCTCTCAAAACTCTTTCATTTCCACAACACATTATATATGAAAAGGTATGGGATGTGACCAAACCAAAACAACTTTATATATAGGTTCAATCAGCTTCTAAGTCATGAGAATGCTAAACTATTCATATCCTTTCCACTTGAGCACCTAAACAGGCTTAAATTTGCAAATTCATAAATCTCGAACAGGGTTAAACGGTAAGTGCACCCGCAAGAGTTCGTCTAGGTCCGTTTTTCAAGCTTCCCCTGCACAAATGCATCCAAATGCGTAGATAAATAGCTATAAGTTCTGATCCATGCCGACATCAGCGAATATGTTTAACCCATGACTTAAATACCGGTCATCAGGCGCTGCTCTGCAGTTGGTTGAGAAGCACCTCCGAATTATCATCCTTGTACTCAACAACGGAACTATAGGGGTTGTTTATATCTTTGTCTGTTGGCAATTCACTTCCGATGGCACCTTCTGATAATCCAATTTGTGATGCATAAGCTTCGTTTTTTAGATATCCGGCTTGCTGTATCAATCCCACCAAAAGCTCCCTACTTTCCTCGTCTCCTTTTTCCTCGCAGAGACTAAAGAAGGCAGAAACATTTGTGGGCTTCGGCCTCCAACTTCTTGAGCCTTCGGTTGCAAAAGCTTCTTTTAGGCAAGATAGAGCCTCGTCGATTCTCGCCTCTCTGATACGCCCTTCAGCAAGAGTTTCCCATGAGCTTGAATTTGGCTTTCCTCCGGCATCAGCTATGTGATTGAAAAAGCTCTCAGCTTTATCAAAGTTACCTTCTTTGACATACCACCCGATGAGAAGATTCGCTATTCTAGGGTCGTAAGATGTTTTAACCGATAGCCACTCTTTGTAAATCTCTTCCGCCCCTTCAATATCGTCGGTCCTAACCAGAGACGAGATCACTGCATGATAACCTAAATTCGGAATACTGGGGAAAATAGATTTGTAAACTTTCCACACCCGATAAACCTCCTCCGTATTACCAACATTACCATAAAGTGTAATAAGATAATGATATGGTATACGATCCCGACCAGTGATCCTACTCTCTACATTTCTCAAGCATTCTTCGGCTTTCTTAGGCAGTCCCATCTTGATATACATAGTCGCCATTGTGCTAAACGTAGTCCAGTTTGGAATGATGCTTCGATCTTCTTTCATCTGCTCATATACTCGTTCCATTCTTTCCACAGATCCTTGGGAACCACAAGACGACAACCAGATGTTGTATGAATATATATCTAGACGTATGTTTTTTACCAACATTTCCGAAACCATGGACTCGACTTTATCGTACTCCTTAAGGTTCATGTATAGGGTCATCATCACATTATACGGAAGAGGATGCAAGGCATAACCTTTGTTCCTCATATCGTTGATTAAAGACTCCGCCTTTTCTTGCAATCTTGCTCGCACATAGGCATTCAGAAGGGCTCCGTAGATCCTTTTGTCCTTCAAAGTATCGGGGAGTTGAAGGAAGTAATCTTCGGCGCTCGAAACTCCGCGCACCTTGGAAATAAGATCCAATTCAATCGCGGCATCACTAGCTGAAAATCTAAACCTCTCACTTCTGTTGTTCATCCACTCGTAAACCTGTACAATGTCGGAAATGTTTTTAAAAATGATGTCTGATACGAGACCATCAACAACTTTACTAAACAAAGGTGCTGAAAAGTGTTAACTTCCCAGAAAAAAATTCACAATTCTACGAGGTCATCAACTACACTGACAACAAGAATCAAAGCATCTTCCCACCAAGTAGGCTCTTCTAAATTATGTTGCACTAATAAGTATACGGGGACAGATTCAGGGACGTAAAACAGTAATTTCCGAAATTACATGATAAGGGTATGACAAGGATACGGTATGAAGACATATCAACTCAGAAGTACTCAGATTCTCTCCGAAAATGTGTTGTAAGTCGACTGATATTCCAGACTTCAAAATTAACTTCAATTTTTTTATTCAAAATCATTTTTTTTTAAATTTTTTTAAAGTTAAATCTAAAAAATAATTTGTGTATGCGCTTAAATATCAAATGTCATTGCTGGTATTGGGTAATTGAAACTGTATTGGATTACTGTACCCGTGCAACATATCTTCTAAATGTATTAAAATATGCCATTTTGCTTTTACTTTTAGGACAAACACACACCCAAAATGTGCAAATATGTTTATGGACAAACAACAAAGTACCAAAATTTAAGAAAGAAGTCGATTCCCAGTAAATAATTTATAGAATCGACAACAGATAAATAGAAAACACCAAAAGAGAATATAATTCATTTCTGGGTATACCTCAAGAGCCTGCTTGTAACGCCTGTACTTCCTCAACTCCTTGACAACCCTACAAAGCTCCCATTTGGTGACCTTGCTGCCGCCTTTCTCCCAGTCGTTCAACACGGAGGCGGAACCCAATTGAGGGTTTTCCATGAGAGAGATTTTTTTGTAGAGCGCGATCCATTTGACCATGGGTCTTCTCTCGAAGTCCACCGTTCCATAGCCATGGACCTGTGGGATTGAACAAGTGATTTGGAGCTTTTTGAAGCTCTGGGTTTTGGAAAGGATGAACCGGGGGATCTGACGTGGGAGCTGTCGGGAGTAGGAAGAGAACGAAGAGAGAGAAACACGGTGGTTCAACACCGATGGAGGCTGGAGAAGCATACTTTTGCTTTTGTTTTTGGTTACTTGCAGAGCAGAGGTTCTACTTGAAGATAGAGTTCAAATGAAATTATCTTTGTTCGATCGTATGGTTCGGTTCGTCCGGGCTAATCTAGATTGAGTTTAGACAAAAGTTTGATCTGATTTAAATAATAAAAATAAAAAACTACTTCAAATATCACTTATATTTGTCCGACGATTTATTTATATCACTAAACTTTTAATTTTTTTAACTTATAACATTGAATTTTAAATTTACATTCAATTATATCACCCTATAATTAAGTCAATTAATATGGTTACTAGTTATTGATGTAACATGCCACATTAAAATAATATCGTTTTGGTGTAGTTGTTTTGGTGACTAAAACAATTTTGTTTTAGACATTAAATTTTAGTAGTATATCGATTTTGCCATAAATTTTAGACAGTTTTATTTTTTAACATTCTATTTGTCGACTGTCATCAGTAGCTAAGCATCACCTGTCATCGATTATATTTCACAATAGGATCAATAGAAGAATATTTTCTTATGATTTATTTTTCACAAAATTCACTCAAAGTCGGTAAAAATCAATTTAAAAGTTTGACATATTCATACTATGATCTCTTTCAATGACTTTTAGATGAGGCTAATTTCGAGGTATGTTGTCCGTCTTCTCAAAATATGTTTTTCACCATTCAAATTTTCAAACAAATACCTCAAATCTCATATATCTAATAAAGTCTTCAAACATCTAAAAATTATAATATTTTTTTGTTTAATTTCTTTGATTTTGAACAGGTTTCATTAAAATCTAATCATGTGAGAAGAATGGGCAATAAAAGATAGATACTTTGGTAGTGATTTTAATGTGAAATATGATTGATGACGAATTATGATTGGTTGTTCGTGACGATCGAAAAACGTAGTGTCAAAAAAGTAAAATGCTTAAAAGTTTAACATAAAATCGATACATTCCTAAAGTTCAGTGTTTAAATGATGTCATTTTAAGGATCAAAACAGTCACACCAAAAATATATCATTTTGGTATGGCATGTCATGTCAGCAACCATTAGTCATCTCATTGTTTCGTTAATGATTTAACGATAGGGTGATATAATTGAATGTAAAATTAAAATTCGGTGGTATAATTAACAAAATTAAAAGTCTAGTGGTATAAACAAATCAGACAAAATATAGTAGTTTATGAAGTAATTTTCCCTAATAGACATATTATTTTATTTTAACTTGATTATAAAAATATAAATTACTACTATAAATTTAGTTTTTATTTTAAATATTATATATGTATGATAGTAAAATGGATTGTTAAGTTGCATCAAATCAAATTTAAAATGATTTTAAAAAATATGATTTTTTTTAACAGAAGATGAGCTTAATAGAATCGATTTACATATATATATTTATATATTAAATCTTTAAATAGCTTATATTTAAGTTAGAATATATCTCAATTAATATATTAAAAAATGATTTATAGTGACATAAAATTATTTTGCTCATTATAGTAGCGGAACTTGGTAATAGAATTTAGGGAGGTCAACTTATTTTTTTTTTAAATCAAAGGTTTAAATTAAAATTTTTGAAGAGCTCAACTTACCTTATTTTAAAAAAAATTGGGGTTTAATTAAAATTTTAAAAAATTTGAAAGACTTAATGAGGATTTTTAAAAATTATGGAAGAGGTTTAATCATCGTTTAAAAATTTTAAAGCTTAATATGAATTTCTAATAATTTTGTGTAGAAAAAAATTAATTTTTTTAAACTTTATAAGAGTCAAAAATTAAAATTTTCAGATTTTTGGGGACTATAGTCCACACATGTCCTCACTATGTTCCGGTGTTGTTGCTAAACCTAATTTCATGCATGAATATATATATATATATATATTGATGAAACTTTAAACATGACTACATTGTTGCTCTAATTTTTTTCGATGAATGAGAATATATTGCACCAAAATCCTTGAAACAATATCACTTACAAACCAGACTAGCAAGCCCAGTTAGCACAAAGAAAACCATTAACATTCCCCTCCCTTGTCTGTTGCTCTAAATATATAACAATTACACATTTATAATAATTATATCATAATTTTTTAGTGATTATACCTGATTGCTTATCAATCAATGAGAAGACATACACATCTTCCTTTTGAATAATATATATCTTTTACTATGTACAAAGTAAAGAACGAATCTAATGATGAGATAAAATTTTAATTCTTTCGATTATGAGATTACATTTTAATTTATTTTCAAATATTTATAATTGATTATAGGTGATTAACTCTTTATAAGTTGGATACCTATATGATTTTTTATGATTGTCTCGTATACTCCGCCAATCAAGGCTATCAGGCAAATCCCCTGTTATCGAAACCTCCGAGGAGTTCATATCTTCTAGGAACAAATCCCAGAGCCAACTACAATGTATAGATAAAAAATCTCTAATAGGCACACGCAGTTGGAAAATAGACTGCTACAAAATGAGACGTTAGTACTAATTGAAAATATTAAATAAAATAAGTAAATGAGACGATAACCGTGTCATGATAATACATTGCCTTAGAAGCAAATTCATCTCGATGTGTGTAATCGCTACAATAGATGAATGACCATCAAGGTTAGCACGGCTCTCCAAATCTCGTACACCCGAAAGATAGAGTGGACTCTGGTGGTAGTGCTCTTCTTTCAACTCAAGGTGACAATGCGAACAGGTTTATAAAAGCAAAGGAGAGTATTTCTAAAGTAAGTAATTGCTTAGAGATGTTTCTCTTGAAGTTCCATATGAAATGGAAAAATAAATATTCATTTATAGGCTCAACATAGGGGTAAAAATGTAAAAGATCAAATAGCAGTTACAAAATAATTAATCATCATAAAGATTATTCTAATGACCATAAACTATATTAAGTATTTTGTAACGGCTATAAATAGTAAAATAACTCTGATAAATGATATTCTACTGGGAGGATCTTATCTAAAAAGAAACATAAACAAATCGAATCGAATCGGGCCACATTTCATAACTAATGTAAAATTATATGTATTACCAACATTCCCCTGTTAGTACAAAAGATTTTTTTTGTTGTAAAAAAAGAGAAAATTTGAGTTAAAACACGAGAAGAACAATAGCGAGATTAATTGCTTAAGCACTAGTGAACGTATCTTGAACTAGTACATAGTGATGATAAGTAATTCTTCTCTTAGATAAATGAATGAATCTTGATCTTTCTAAGATTAGGGTGAACTCATAACACACAACTAACCCCTTTATCCACTGAAGTCCTTGATGTGTTTTCAAAGTATATATACTAGCATATATATATATAACCCTATTTTCTTAAGATTCTAATAAGTGTACTAGAAAAATGGCTCAACGTTTTTCATAGAAGGTGGTTAGTCCTTTTTCACTTACATAGGTTATTTCATCGGGTTTATCTTAACATAAACCACCCAAAATCGGGCTATAAAATAATTAAGAGCTTTTACAACAACTCATCCTCACAATGGGTAAGGTGAATTTCTTCAAGTTCATTTTAAATGAACCACCCAAACGTTGAGATAAGAAATCAGTAAGAATAAATATTCAACCTCATCCATCGGTGAATTCAATATGTCATTCTCATTATGAACTCTCAAACTCTTGGGATTTGAATTCATTAAGAGTGTTAAGAAAAATCATCATCTATGACGGTAAGTTCATTTAGTCCTTCACGATTAGGACTGTCCACTCAACTCTAGGTTATGAACTTATTAAGAATATATATTTAACTAAAAATCGATAAATTCATCAAGTCTTTCTCACTAAGATCATCCAAATCCTGGGCTATGAATTTATTAAGAGTAATTAAGCTCATCATGTGCATGTACATTATTCATCAAGGGATAGGCAGGTAGAAATGTACACTATGAGTCTTTCCATTGCTTCGTTTGACCACATTGAAATTAGATAATTAAGTTGGGCATCCATCATAAATTCTTAAACCAATGGGCTTTAGACCCATCCTCTCGATGAATCAAGAACCAATTTTCGACTATAACCTTTAGTAAGTCGATCAACTAGGTCCCTCTCTTACTTTGACCATCATTTAAGACATCCCGTATTTCTAACATTTTTAGAATAGAAATAAATCCATAAGTATCTTGGATAACGTCTAAACAAATTCTCTTGCACATTTACTCATTCATACTTGAGTAAAGTTTGTTATTAGTTTTAACCATAAAATTATATTTTAACAAACTCAAAACTTGTTTACACATTATTATATTCTCAAATGATCATGAAATTTCTTATATCTCAGTAGTCATTCATGACTTTTTTTCATTCAAAATGAATTTTGTTTTATCCTAGTTCTTCATAAGAAGTATTTAGGAATATTATACAAATATTTATGAGGAGTTTTCAACTATTCTTAATAACATGAAAAAAATATCTCAAGTTTATCACTAGAGATTTCAACACAACTCCTATGATAGAGTATCTTTTTTCTTTCCTCTACTTAGGAAAATCACTCAAAGAGATTTAATAGCTACAATCAATCTTTTAGTAGCACTAGTGTCTATCATTTTCTCATTTATATTATTCAACATGTTAGCCCTACAAAGACCATCATATATTTATTTAAATTGGAATAGTGAGTATATTAATGAATAGTGCACCATATAGGTTTTTATGAAAGAGATGTGGTGCACTAGGTACGCTTAAGTATCAGGTCTTTAAAGAACCAATCCTAAACATGCACTTTCATACCTATCACACTATTTTCCAATAAATTGTTTATGAATTTTCTCTTTCTTAAGGCCTCTTAAAGAGTTAAGCTTGATATTTTTACTCACAATTGTATCGTATTAAGCATACACATTTTGGGTTACAACCGCCTTAGCCTTAGTAGTTTTCACTATTTTATTCTTTACTACTGGTTTATCTCATTTCATATTATTTTCACTAGGTTTAATTAAAAGACTAACTTAAAAGACTCATTTATTATAATTCATGTATTTTAAAAACATGAATTAATATGCAACAAGTCTAAATAATCTGACTTCGTAGGTAGAATTATAACTCCCAAACAGACTTGTTTATTCTCATC